GGCCATGAATATGCTGAACAAACATGCTCAAAACCCATTATATGCAGTTATTAAACATTCATTCATGCAAATAATAATGTATCATCTGTTGACATCAAATCTTAACTTAGCATTCATGGTGGTCTATATTCACTTATGTTTTCTGTATATGGTATCTTTACTCATATTCATAATTGACTATTTTTCTCCATACATATGAGTTAATGCTTTTGTTAATTTGCAAAATGATCATGAGCAATAAGGAATTAGAAGTAATAGGGCAAGCAAGATCGGATTCCAATTCCTTGTGCGTGAAAAACTTGGAAGCTGATTCTGATATAAGCATGGATGTGAGACGTTCCAGCCGGAATTACATAAGAGGAACTTTATGAAAAGCTTAGTTGGACATTAATAGGTGAGGTTTTCACGTAAGAACAAATTCACCTTTCAGTTTATTTTTTGACGCTATAATTTCACAACAAATTTCATTTTACAAATTTGATCTGAAAATGGTCAAATAAACGATGATTTACTCCTGTTTGACCTATACTGTGGAGCAGTGGTAGCACAATCATCTTGCAACCAGAAAGTCACAGGTTCAATTCCCCATCGTGCCTGCATGTTGTAATGTCCTTGAGCAAGGCACCTTGTTCCCAACTGCTCCCCAAGCAGCCTAAATAGCTTCTCTCTCCTCCGCCTGTGTGCATTTGATATTTGAGCGATGGGTTAAATGCAAAGGACACATTTTGTTAATGTGTGCATGCAATCATGACAACATAAAAAAACTTCACTTAGGCTAAATCGAAACAGCTCTGTATTATTTACATTTTCTTTGTGGCTCATTTAAGTTTCAGGCTTCATAATCTTGGTGTGACTGGGGCACTGAAACCACTGACAAAACACAGCAAAATCCTTTTTTTTAAATTAAAATGCATCATTATTCTAACTAATATGTGTTGGAAACGGATGCTAAGTTAGCTTCTGTGTTAATCTGTGGCAGTGCATTTTCCTGACAAAACTGCAGTTTGTGATACTGCAAAAGTGAACATGTGGTGCTAATAACCAAAGCATTAAGTGTTCATTAATTTACCTCAAAAATAAGTCGACATGCACTGTTTATGCCTGATTAAGTAACATCAATTTATGTTGATAGAGTTTGACGTTGCAAAGCTGCTATTAAGAATGTCAAATGTCCTTTGATTGATGTCATTTTTGTCAATTTACTTTTGTATGAACACATTCTAATATCTGCTTCTTAACAAAGAAGCTAGAATTACAACAATGCACTTATATAGTTTCAAATTGTCTCCTCTCGGAATTCCATGAAACTTCCATACAATTTGCTTGAAATTTAAGCTGCAATTACAGGCTTGTGCATTATTCACTATTTGATGTTGAGCATATTGTAATTAAAAAAAAGACAAAAGAATAACTGTCCAAAGATCGGTGTGTGTGTGCAGAGTCTGTTTGTCACATAGCTGTGACTTCTCTCAGTATGGTGTTAGGTCTTCAGAGTCACAGTGCCATTGTGTCCTGACCTCTCACCTTACAACTAGATGACATTATCAACACACACACAAACACACACACAATGACACGCTATTGGTGTGGTCCAGGTGGTCAGTGTTACTGGGGGATGAACATGTCAGGGTTCAGTGTGTAACAAAACAGCATGGGGCTTTCCATTAGGCAGTCAATAGTGGAAAAATGCATTAAGATGTGCAACGACACAGACTTTTTAAAAAATTCTAAATAAAGCATAACATAGCCCCTCTTCCTAAACTTTGTTCATTGATGACTACACCAAAACTTTATATTACCTTGTTTTACCAATAACCAAGTATACACTTTTACACATAACTTTCTACTCATTGGTGCTACAATTGTGTCCCCACAATCACAATATGTCCACATGAGTTGGTCTCTTTTCAACCATTGGTTCTCCTAATGATATAAAAACAAAATACATACAGGGAGAGACCCAAGATGTTGTACCAACAAAGTTTATTCCTGGTAAACAGCTGACTACATCCTGTTTCAGCACTGACAAGTAGGCCTTAGGTCATAACAGAAAATAACCAATTTCAACAAAAGATTAGAAATAAAATCATTTTTAAATGTTAACTCACATCTTTTAGATGTACTTTCGTATCACTGCAATTGCATTTATGAAAAACAAACAATTTTTTAAAAAATGTTGGTTTGATGTGCTTTGGAAAGAGCTATTAATATAATTCACTAGAAAAAAAACTCAATATCTGAAAGTAGATCAAACAGATTTTAATACTATAAATATATTTCTAAGAAAACTTGTGTTAATTTGATTTTTACGTAATAAAATAAACAGATCGTCGCAGGAAATTCTTAAATTTACACACTGTGAATTATCAGTCTTTATCAGATGTTCTGCTTTTTGGTTTCATTTCATGTAATTGAGTAGTGGTGGTCATTTTTTGTGAGTCAACTAGATCTCTTATTGACATTGTTTCCCATTCCTGCAAACATGAAAGAATAAAACCTTTTCTGCATCTTCATTTAAACAAAGCACAAAGTTTCACAGATACTGGCATCTAGTTATAACTGTCCACATTTGGACTTTCACTAAATGCAGAACATTTTTAATGTTTTATTTAGTTTCACTCAGGTCAAAAAGCTGAAAAAAGACCCCCTTCTGAGACAACTCAGTACTCGTGTGATAATCCATCTCTATTATTCAACGCTTTGGATGTAGCTGTTGACATATCATGTTTATCAAAAAGCAGCTAATGTTTAGTTAAGTAGAATACAACAGTTAATTAGGAGACTGATAAGTTTTATGGTCAGACTGGGAAATATTGGTCATCCTCTGATTTATTTAGCCTTCTCGACAAAGATGACATATGACCGTGCATTTGTTTGCCCAGTATCATAAAATTGTTAGCTTGGCACGACAATGTAGTTTACAGTCCTTTATGCTCCCCTGTGTATAATGGTGTCTACTGTAGTGAGTAATCTGTAATTACCCTTAAATGCTTCAGGGGCAGTTAAATTGATGTCATAAAACTGGGTTTCGATGTTCCAGTGGCTTCAATGGTAAATCGCCATGTTGAGGCAAATTCGCTGAAGGGACAACTATAGATGTCAGCTCTGTAAACTAGAAAACATTTTAATGCATTCGGACAAAATTAGTTATGCAACAATACTTTCTATATTTTGCATCTGTAACCTCTACAGTAGTGCGCTGCTGATGAGTGTGATAGTCTAGATCTCTATATTATTTCTACCAAGATTTAGCACGAGACATATTTTACTTGGTCCCTTTCACAGACTGTAAATTAATAAATAAGAAATTTACAACAAGTTTCTTGTTGAGAATAAATAAATTGCTAGCTTGATTTTTCTTATAATAAATCCTATCATTTTAAAGACCTATGAGTCCTTGAAGGGATCATATCGCCTGCCAGCTTTTATTTAAGAAGATTATCTTTTGTTGGGAAATGACAAAGATATTGCCTTTTTGGTCAAATTTTGAAAACAATGTTTCTCACACAACATTATGAGAAGGTAGTGCTTAAAATAAACTTAGCACAAAAAGTATTGACATTGTAACAGAGCACTTCGCTCTCAGGCTGCAGGTTAACTTGTGGTTCCTTGAGTTTCTAAAAGTAGAATGGGAGGCAGAGCTTTCAGTTATCAAGCCCCTCTCTTGTGGAATCAACTTCCAGTTACTGTCCATGAAGCTGACACTCTCTACTTTTAAGATTAGACTGAAGGCTTTCCTTTTTCATAAATCCTATAGTTAGACTTGGGTTTCCTGAATTATTCTTCATTTCTGCTGCTATAGACTTAGACTGCTGGAGCACAAACTGAGCACATTTCTTCACTCTGCTGTTGTCTTTAGTCTCTCTTCTTTAAATGTTTGTTGTAATTATTGCGATCTTTTTTTTCTTTGTCTCTTCCAGAAGAAGGTGCACCTGGACCAGTCCCGCCCGGTCCAGTTTTTTTGTGTTTGCCTGTGTCTCTTTCCTGTCCCTCAACCAGCCGGTCGAGGCAGATGGCCGCCTGTCCTGAGCCTGGTTCTGCTGGAGGTTTCTTCCTGATTAGCAGGGAGTTTTTCCTCTCCACCGTTTGCTCAGGATGGGAGACTGTGATGAAGTGACTCACCACAATCTGCTGCTTTCTTCTTTAGATTATTCTTTTTATGTACAGTGTCCTGAGACAACGTATGTTGTGACTTGGCGCTGTATAAATAAACTTGAGCTTGAACTTTGTATTTAGTAGATTATTATTTGATGTAACAATGCTTCTTGGCAATAAATCTTACTAATGTATATTGGGAAGACTGTTAATTTCCTTTTATTTTGTACCCCATTTGTAAGGAACAAAAAAGTGCCTAATTAGCACCTAATTGGCAATTCCATATCTCCACAATCTGAAACCAAATTATATCCTCCAAGATGGCAACAAACCCCCTATAGAGCGTAGTTTATCAGAAACTACCTCCAGGATTTGGGGGTGGGCAGGATGGAACGGCCTGCCAGCATTCCTGACCTCAACTCTATTGAACACTTGTGAGATCAAAATGGTTGTGCTGTTTGTACCAGAGTGACCTACCCAACCACATTGGCTGAGTTCTGACAACTGCTGATTGAAGAATGGGATCTCACTCCACAGCAGTGTGTGATCAGCATAAGAATGAGGTGCCATGCTGTTGTGGCTGTATATGGTTCTTCCACATGCTCCCAAGGCTCCTGTTGTCAATATGTCCTGTTTCTTCAATTATCAATTATCCAGTCCACCAAACAAGACCATGGCAGAATAAGTGGTTTGGCATTGGCTGAGAAGATTTGGCATTTTTTTCAAGTACAAAACCCATGTTCTCATCCCCACTGTTCAGCCCACAAATGCCTGTTTCTTACAAACATGGCACCATTTAAATTCCTCGTTGTGACGTTTAGAGCAAACTTTATAAACGACTGTTCAATAATTTCACCTACAATAACAAAACCTTTACCGTAACAAGTCAGAAACACAAACCAAAGACTGATTTATATATTTTATTTCATAGATTCATGCTTTTCACAAACGTTTAATAGACCTCAAGACATTTTTCTTTCCTTTTTTAATTTACTTTTGGTGTTTCAATTTTTAGGATAAAGATATATTTTTAATCCAAAGCAACTAACAGATTTATGGAGCTGTGTGTTTCTTTTCCCCCAGCATACCTCCACTATCACTCACACCATCACACTGAATTGAGTTAAACTGTGAGGACAGATGCAGCAGATATTTAGAGCCATTCAGACACATTTTCCCACACTTCTACACATTGATTGCATGTAAATGACATTGATTGTCTCATTCTTGTCAGTCTGTATTGATTTTTGTATGAATGTGTTTGTGTGAGTTTGTAAGGCTTCATTTGTTCTCCTTCCCTACAGCTGTTCTGTGGATCAGATCCTCTCGAAGCCTCTGGGGAACCAATGATGGAAAATGAAGCTCTGCACTTCCTTACTCTCAGGCATCAGGTTCACTGAGGCCGTGCTGGCTGTAAAAAATGAACCATGCGTAAATATAGAAACAAGATTCAGTACTTTACGTATGAAAAACTTGACATTTTTAAGGCAACTTACACTCTAAAAATGAAATGTTGGATTTACTTTAACCATGTTATGTTACCTGGTTCCACTTAACTGAGTTGAGTAAATTCAAAGCAACATATTCATGTTCTTTGGCTAAAAAACTGGTATATTGCTTTMAATTTACTCAACTCAGTTAAGTGGAACCAGGTCACATAACATGGTTAAGTAAATCCAACATTTCACTTTTTACAGTGTATAACAATAAAGTAATGTCACTTCAAATAATGGTCTGTAGCTTGCACTTTAGAACAACTGGTGGGTTATTGGTGTTGACTTGTTCAATTGTTTGAATTTTGCAATTAGTTGCATTTGGCAAAATAAAGGCACATATTGGTTAGGCACTTTATTTATATTTACATTATTAGCATCTATTGAAACAAGATACATATTTGAGAAACAATTAGTTGAACATGTCCATCGTGGGGAGCTCATTATTTCATTATTCATCCATAATCTTTTACCTGCTTCTTCTTTTCAGGGTCATCGGTGCCCAGTCCCTGCGCGAGGGGTGGTGTAAACCTTGGACCAGTCCATCATAGGGCCACATAGAGACAAACAAGACAAACAACCATTCACTCTCACCTAAGAACAACGTAGAGCTACCAGTCAGCCTAACAATCATGTTTTGGTAGGAAACTGGATTGCCTGGAGAAAACCCATGCATGCACAGAGAGAATATGAAAACTCGGATAGGTCCCTGGTTGGGATTCAATCTGGCAACCATGAATTATGATCATGCTCTGCTGTGATGAATGTTAAATGTATGATACATGAATAAATATTCAGTGTCTGACACATGATATGATTTTTATGGACAATAAGAAATGTGAATGCAAAATGTGCCTACAGTGTTGAGGTAAACTGCAGAATAGGCTTACTGTATATAAAAGCTTCCTGTTTTTTGTCATTCTTTTTATTGATAGCTGATTCAGCATTCACACTATTGTTTTCCTGTTTTGTTTTGTTGTTTTGCAACCAACTTCCTCTGCACACTTTGTATGATTTTAACAATCTACAAATTAAAATGTTCAGCTAATTCAGAAAATAACTGTAGTTATGCAGTGTTTTCCTCGTACATTGTAATTATTCAGTTACTCACATTATTTTCACATTTTGTATATAAGCTACTTTTACTTTTTGCTTCCATTATGCTATTTTAACTTTTAGCTTGACTTTTGTTGCATTTCTTTTAATTAGCCCTTTGCTATTTTAGCTTTTTTGTTTAGCTAGTTTTAGTTTTTTCTTCTTTTATCTTGAAGACAGTGTTCGGCTAATTTTAGCTTTGACAACTCACTTTCTGCTTCTTCAGCAAATATCAGCAAAGTCATTCAGCTTTCAGCCTTACATTTTCTGTAATTAAAATGAATGACCCTTATTGCTCAAAAAACACTACTAAAAATAAGCAAAAGTGCATTTGTAGAAAATTAAATATATAGACACAATTAATGTTTGTCATAAAATTAAGTTGTGTGTCTTATTGTAACGCATAAAATAGTGGCGCAGGGTCTGTTTGATCACCAGGGGGCGGTAGAGAGCTGTCTTGTAAGTTTGCAAGCAAGCCCCGCCCACATTGATTGAGCCGCTCCCCCTTCGCGTCACTGAGATCTGGTACCGGTATAAAGCCAGCCCAGTGCTTTGTGTTAGTTGAGAAAGCTAGAAGAGAAGAAACTAGAGCAGACAAAGAGCAGGCTGGAGTTTGTTTACCTCATTTCCACTCGGACGAGGCGGAATAGTCAACTGCTGCATCACTTTTGAGCCATTATTATTTAGTTGCTCTGGATTATTATTCCTTTGTTCTTATTTCATCCTTTTTTTTAAGGTTTTTTTTTCTTCTATTTGCTTTGGTGACTTTGGACTTGTGAGTCACATTTGGATCTTTCCTTTTATTCAGACTTTTTCTTTTTTTTTTTTTTTTTCCCTTTTTGGTGGAACTCCGCCTGACTGAATTTACTGTGGAGTTTGCGAGGATGTCGAGTCACTGCCATGTGCAGTAGATCCAGGTAAAGTGCGCACTCTCTGTCAGTCATGCCGCTCTTTAGAAGGAATATTGCGTATGGTGTAACACCGGCATTTCATCTGTCACACAACAATCCGCCGCACTTCTGCTCTAAAAGAACCTTAATGCTTTAAAAAGCAGCAAATCTACAAATATATATATTTAAAACTCTTGTTTTACAGTGTTATTACCATTTTATATGCCATAAGTTGAATGCCACTAAAAGACGCGCGTGCTTTTGTAGCTATGTGCCTCAAAACCAAACTCAAAATAAACTTAAAAGTTGATCATCGCATCTTAAAGCTGGATTTAAATCTGTGGTTGTTGAGATTATTTATTGGAGCTGTATTTTCTGCCTCAGTTTCACACCAGTTCAGATCGGACTGTTACCCCAGTTCGGATTTTATTCTAGATGATAAAACTTTTCTGTGCCTGATCTCTTTGTCTCCAGGGATGCGTGAACTATTTTTTTTAATCTGCTAAAAGCGCGCACCGAACTCACTTAATATTTATGTAAAGTACGGCTAATTGCGCAACAGTGTCTTCATTTTTTTTCCACAGCAGACGGAGCTGATGTGATTCCTAATGATCGAGGTCTCCCCAGTTCAGCTCCAGTTTAATTAGTCAGCTCGAAAAACCAACATAAGATATTTTTTTAACCCATTTCCGCTTTTATGTCATTAAACTTTACTGTTATTTAGTTGCACGATCATGTGCAACCTCTGGCCAGTAACGTTTGTTTTTGTTTCTAAACAATACGCAAGTTAGTGCGTGAGTGCGCTCCCCCTGAGGGAGGCGCGCGCACACTTTTAGTTTTGAAACGAGAGAGAGAGAGAGAGAGAGAGAGAGAGAGAGAGAGAGAGAGAGAGAG